GAAGCTAAGAGATTGAAGGGACCAAAAACTATGTATAATGTTGGAAAGAGTTAGCTGGGCACGTGCCCCCCCCCCCCAATAACTTTCCAAAATTTAAAAAAAATTTTATTTTATTTCAATTTTTTCATGAAACTCTAAGTTTAGATTGTTTAAATATACTTAAAATAATTTATTCTTAAATTCATTTTATTTTATTATTTATTTATTTTTAATCCTTTGCAACTGAGTACTTTAAAATGCTCTTTGAACAAATGTAAGCACTAAATCATTTAACATATGTAATATTTTATTTTATAACCCTCATTGAACAGCCGATTAAATTTTTGGGTTTACGTCTATTAATGTTCAACTCTGTAGCCTTGTAATTTGGAACCCAATCCAGAAGACAAGGGAATTCCTGGATCAAGTATTGGGAGAAATTTGCCTTTGTGGAGTACTTTCTCATGGAACTGATCTGCATTTGCGTTATATGAAGAGGAAGACCACGAGAACCTCCTACGGTTAGCCTGACGGCAAAGAGACTTTAATCCTTCATCCGTCTACCACTGAGGATATTTCTCGTCACCACTGTGATCGGTGCTGGAATTCGAACTCGGTTCCCCTCATTAGAAGGAGAACGCCCTAACCACTGAGCCATCGTGGCAAAATATGCAATATAGTCTTTTCACATAATTAGAATGCTGTGGTTACTAATTATTAAAGTACAAAATTTTTAATTTGTGGCTACGCCTTTGTAATAAATCTTCAACATTTTAAAAAATTTGATTTGTCAAGTATGATATGTGTACTGATAAAATTTTATAAAATGTAAAGTTAGCAAATCTTTATAAGTGCTTAAGTGTCATGAAAACAGTTGAATATATTTAAAATTTTGTTATTTTAATCAGTCAGCATGATACCGGAAACATTTTCTTTTAACGCTGATTTATGTCTCTCAAAATTTTAAGTATTTTTATTATCAACATTGTTTTCATTATTTTAATTTCAGATATTTTCACATGATTATTCATTTAAAATTTGAGACGAAAAGTTTGCTTTTTTATTTTTATCATGTTTAAAATAATATAATTGTAAAATAATTTGAATCTTAAAAATTTCTTTGACTTCAAGCTGAATAACATTTAAATGGAGAAAATTTTCACGTAATTATTCATTTGAAATTTGAGACAAATAGCTTGCTATTTTATTTTTATCGAGTTTAAAATAATATATAAATTAATCCTAAAAATTTCATCTTAAGCTGAATAACATTTACATTTTAATAAAAATTACCAATCAATGTAGAAAAGAATAATGCTTAAACTTTCATCTGTGAGGTTTGTATGTACTTTGTGAAAACATGTTGGGCGATTGCATCTTCTTTCTTTTTAAAAAAATCCCATTTCAGACATTTATATGTAATGTTATTTTTGTTTTATTATGTTATTAATGCCTAATCTCTTATCAGAAAAATACAAACAATCGAAGTGATTGCTTTTGAACAAAAATTTTGTGATTGCAATATTCTCAAAAAGTAACTGATAGTAGTAAAACTTTTATCATTAATAGTGAAGGCAGCTTATAGTAAAAAAAAGATGTTACGTTTTTTCGTCTTTTCTTGTGCGCAATTAAATATAAGTGCAAATTTAATTTTCATTAATACAAAATTTACTACTTTTTTGGTTTCGAAATTTGAATGTTACCTGAATTTTTTGGCTAAAATTGTTGGTTAATACATAGTACCTTAAACTAATTATCAAATCGTAAAAATTTCTGATGTACCAATTTCACATTGACACAGCAGAAGTTATTTTTTCATTGCAAAAAATAAGTGGCAAAATTTTTAATTAAAATTCACAAAGGCTTTCCTGGTTGCACTCCCAGAAAATATTTCTACGCGTGCCTTTGAGTTTTGCTTCAAGTGTTTTGTTAAGTAAAATTTCAGCTTCTAAAAGGATTAAGTTACGTAAGTATTTTTCTATTTAATTTCAGTGAAAAATTTATGCAAGTAAGTAATTTGAATATTTTTAAATTTTCTTTATTGTCTCGATTGTTACAAAAGGTAATTTAAAAAATCAAAATATTTTATTTTAATATTTTTAGAAGTTATAAAGGTAAATTTCAACTCAAATTGGATGTAAATTTAACTTTATTTATGTAGTGTGGTTTTTCATTATATTATTTCAGAATATAAATAATGAATGATAAATAGGAAATTACAAATGGCTTAAGTTACGACTTTTATAAAGCATGTTTCACAAGTTTTACAAAACTAACTCAATTCAGATTTTGATAAAATAGGCTAATTTCTAAAAAAAAAATTAAGAATGCATTTTAAAATTTAAGACTTGAAAATTAATAAGGATTCATCTGAAAACTTAGAAAATTTTAGTCTTGAAAATTCAAAATCTAATATTATATAGCATTAAAACTAATGCAAAATAATACTACGAAGAACGCTAGATAATATTACTTTGCAAAGAATCTAATATTATATAATGCAGAGCAAACAGCGACCCCTTGTATCTTTCTAATATTAGAAGTTGTGCAAGATAACATTAGATTTTATCGGTTTTCTGATATTTTCTAATATTAGGTACTACTTGGGAGTTTTATTTTTATCTGCTACAGAACAGATTAATTGGAAACTCGACTTTCCCTTCTCAGCTCTAATTTGCAGCTGCTTAAATTAGACATTTGAAAAAAAAAAGAAATATTGCAATTTAATTCATCTATCAAGTTTTTAGTTTTCATAACTGACGCATTTCCGAATTTAATGCTGATCAAAAAAATTACGATCACAATTCCTCAAAACGAATATGTGGGTGATTCTTTTTAAACATGACAATTGGACCAAAAAATTTCTTCAAATTTAAAGTCTTCAAAGTAATCTAACATTTTTTTTACACTTCTTTAGTTACACTTATTAATATCTTACAGATAGCAGTGTAGTTTATTGACATTTGCTCGAGAGAAAAATAAAATAGAAATTCGCCAAATCTTGAATGCCAGGAAAATGACATATTAGCTTAGAAGTTAAAAAAACAGTTATTTTAAGTTAATAGTAAGTAACTCAACTTAAGCTTTATGTTAGATGGACCATAAATTACTTAAATTAATTATTTTTATCCGCTGTAGAAATAATCAAAAAAAATTTTTGTAGCTGATATGTACAGAATAAAATTGTGTATAATAATCAATCATTAAATAAATAAATAACTTTGATTACATCCAATCATACATAAAATTGGTATTAGGTTAATATTTCCTTTCCCTCCTTACAGTATTAGCAGGCAAAAAAATTTCTGGTAACACTTCAATGTCCTGTCATTCATAAGCCAGGATAATGAAAAATTCGTCACTTTATAGCATATAACTTTACTTTAATATTTTGGCCTAAGACGTTTATATTCTGCAGAAAAAAACAGGATTTCTAAAAATAACTCAGAAAAATCTATGTAGTTTATGATATTAATAATTTCAAGAAGCCAGAAAAATGACAACACAAAAACCTACTCACCTTGAAAAAATTTTTGAAATAGATTTTAACCCTTTATATCACCGTGTTGCATATCTGCAACATACACAAAAAGCCTATGTCTTTCCCCCAACAAATTTTGAAGGACGATTTCGGCGATTGTCTGCCAAAACCAGTGCGTCAAGATGAAATTGGGCACTGGCCTAATTGGGCTAACAAAAGAATCAGATGCAAATACCCAAAATCCAAAGATTTACACAAACTATTTGTGAGAAAAGTGGTGTAGGACTTTGTTGCAACAAAAGTAACAACTGTTTTAAAAATTTTCATATGAATTAAAATTTTTGAATCTTTCAATCTTAGTGCCATTTTTCACAATGTTGCAGGAATGCAAAAAGCACTTTTTTGTCATTTTGCTTAATATTGCAGAAATGCAACAATCAAATTTTTTCCAATATTTATTTTATTTTATGTTGTAAATTTTTTTTATTATTTTTTACATGCTTAGAATGATGTATGAGTAATTTTTATCAAAATCAGAGATGTTGAGATATAAAGGGTTAAACCAGAAAATTGGTTCTTTATTCATGCAACTAGACATGCTCAGATAGGAGGGTATCTAATCAATCTATTAACATAAGATATTGATTGATGGCTCTATCTATTTTGGTTATAAACCACGAAATAAAAGTAGCCTAGAAAATGACAGATTTTCTTGGGACAAACAAATTACTTTAAACGAAGTTTTTGTAAATAATACCCTCTGCGTTTATTCTAGAAATGCTTACACCAGTTGAGATAAAAAAAATTAGATATTGAAAAATTTATTGGAAGTTTTGAAGCTAGTTATTATTGGAGATATTGTTGGGACATAACAAAAACATGAAATTTTGAAGTTCAATTAAATTTTTTAACTATACAAAACAGTCAATGCTATGCAAAGTCATTTTAAAATGCTAACAGCAATGCTATTTATTAATATTTTTTTAAAAAAGTTCTTTTAGAATTATAGTATTAGATCTTGGAGCAAGGGACAGTGAATTGTCATATTTCTTCAGAATCACCTAATATATATATATATTTCTATTCTAAATCGCTCTAAAAAATTAACTACACATTTTGTGTATTTAAAGACAATTTGTTTTAATTTTGCCTCTTCGTTTAAATTAAAAGAGGGGGGGAAAACGTAATCCTCAGAGATATTACATAAGCTTCCTGAAGCAGGAGGAGCAATTCAATTCCATTAGTCTGATTGGTAAAACATGTCTGTCTTGCTTTTGACTGAGGAAGAATAAAGTTTGGATAAAACGAAAGCGCTGCGAAAAAAAGTGGGGAAAGGGGGAAACTCAAGAAGCTATTCTTCATTTTAGTCGCTAATTGGCTAAAAAAAGTCGCCGATTTTACGCAACTCACTGTAAATTAGTTGTTTTTACTCATATTTCTACTAAAATAGTCGCCCTAGTTAATATTGCTTTAAAACAGTCGATTTAGTCGCCAAAGGCAGCCCTATATTCATAACAACAACAAAGTTTAATATCCAGAGTACTGTTACATACAGAAATTTCTTTTTATTAGAATGTCGTATTACAGCTCAAGAGAAATAACAAAGTTGATAAAGAAATTTATTTATCCTTAAACGATTTAGGGTTTGAGAACACTTAGCCCACCACACATGTGATTCAGGCATTGTAGATGCGCCATACTCCTCGAGGTCATCGTGTTCCCCGTAATCAGTGATATAACCCTCATCATCCTCATCTTCCAGATAAGCCCAAAATTCAGCATCTTTACACATATTATCAATATCCCTATCTAATTTCTCGATGCACAAATCTATCCTGTTCATATCAAAACGTTTTAATGGAGTTTCATCAACAGGAAATGAATCAAAAAAATCTCTGAAATACTGAAGGGAGGATCTTCGTAACAACAAAAAACTTTTTATCTTACCGTGCCCTTGAATACCACTGGTTCTACACCCAAATTTTTCAATAGGTGTAATAGCATCTACCATCAAAAATCCAATTTTTTTCTTCTCTTCGTCGAAGAAATGCAATTGGTATTTATGGCATAATGCTCTTAGAAGGTCTGCTGTACAGCTCCTTGTAATATACATTAAAGTAGTAGAAATTTTTTCTAAAGCATTGAAATTTTTTCTGTCATGCATATTATAACCATAAAAATTAGCAATACTATAACCATGCAAATTAATAAGACGTTCTAATTCTTGTATGAAATGCATTAAATATTCTTCTGAATTCTGTTTTCCACAGTCAAAGTTATCAATATCCAAAAGAAATCGAGATATAAACTGACTTACTTCTTTTAAGTCATGAGTTCTATTCTCTAGGGACATCAGGATAAATTTATTTATGTTATATTCAGGCTTTTCAGTATGAATTATGTCTTTAAGACGATTCATAATTAAATCACTATTTAAAGATTTTTTATTCGTATCAATATCAGAATTAAGTTTATTTATAGAGCTAAGCAATTCACAAAACTCCCAGGCATTGTTACTACTCTTAGTGTCTTTCAAGTACTGCAGGAGTCTCTCTTTTCTTGACATATAATAAAAAGGCACCTAAAACGAAACAAAAAATAGTATAAAAATAATGACTGTCTAAATCTTGGCCAAGGTCTAAATTACAGATTTTCTTCGTTGGAGTGGTGTTTTGAAATTTTGTGAAAAATATTTAAGTTAAAAATTGAAAAACTTATTTCGAGGAAATAAATAATTTCTTCGCAATTTAAGCATGTCAAAAATTAGTTTCTCAAGATTTGATGGCTATAAAAATAGCTTTGTTTTTAAATAAAATATTTTGAAATTTTCGTTTGTTGCAAGATATTTCACATAAGAACTCGCACCCCTGCTAAACTTTTCCCGTAGCCCTGTGGGTACGCGTACCGAACTTTGGGAAACACCATACCTTAGACACCTTAATAAACTATGTTTACTGATCGAAAACAAAACTAATTAAATATAATAATAAAAGCTTAAATAGAAAATTTCTTCGCTGGCTTTTGTGCCAATAATTAGATAAATTATTATCCTATTGCGGTCTTTAACGTCATAACGGAAACTGGTAGGAAAACGACATCCACAGCCTGGTCGGTAGGGCGCTGGGCCCATATCCAAGAGGTCGTGGGTTCGATCCTCGCCGGCCAGTTCAAAATTACAGGTCTACGGAGTTGAACATTAGTAGTCGTAAACCCATGAAATTGGGTCGGCTGTGAAACAGTTCTCCAACCAGTATTTTTCTTTTCAGTCTCGCTTTCAGGCCTGGTCTGAAGAACTTTAGAGGAATCTTTAGGAGGGAAGTAGCCCTGGCATCCTTTTAGAAAGTGATTGTATTTACAATGCGAACTAAACGAGAATTGAATACTGCCCTTAAACGGGAAAAATCTTTGGCCCTAAAAATTATGAGGATTTGTATTTTATAGTACCTAGGAAAGAAAAAGTACCTTCATTGGTAGTTTTTCCTTTCTGAAGAATTCTTTGAGGTACTTCAGAATCAGTCCCTGCTATATATTTCATTAGAAAAAGCGATTCATGAAATGAAACGGTGACCGCAGCAACATTTTACAAATATATTGCAAATGTTTCTACCCATGGCTAATTAAAAATGCTACTAAATTCCCTATTTTGCTTCTTCTGGTTAGGGATAAATCTCATATCAATTTGAAACCGAGCAAGTTTTGTTCATCAAAACAAATTCTCTGGTTTAGCTTTCCACCTAATTCATGGAAATCTCCCGTTAGATCTGGAAAGCAAAAGAATTGTAAAACAATATGCCGAGAGAATTTTACATTCATTTTTAAATAAGATTTTGAGGCATCAACTGATGAAGTTCAAATGCTTTTATGAAGTGCGATATTTTTCCATTCGATGTAGAAAACGTTGACAACAAATGCAGGCAAAACAAACACCAAGAGTTAATGAGCAAGGCAGCTTATCAACAAAACACATGCTTCGAGAATAACATGCACTATTTCTTCAGAAGCTTGAGAAGGAAATCTCACAAGTTATGTTGCAAATTTTTAAAGGAACGTTGACAGAAAAGTTTAATTTCCCAAATATCCAATGTCCTGTGCTTTTCTCAATATGGAAGAATTTATTTCAGAAAGAACATTTGGTTAATCAAATTTTGGCACTGAAGCTGATACAACTAACTTTGATAATGAAAGTATCTTGAAAACTGATTTTGATATAAGTCCTCTTGAGGCATTGTTAGTTGCAAAAACAATTGGTTCCATAAGTAAATGGTAAGTACTGCTGAAGACCCACTAGATATAAGTCAATGAGAGATGGATTTTACTCAAACTTCGAAACTCCTTTTTCTCATTTATTATCCAGTGAGGAATTCTAGCAATGGTACTGGAAAATCAAAAGAAATTTCGAAGATACATTTACATTGGCCAAACATTTGGAAAAAAGAGGAAGGTTAAATCAAAAGAAATAAATTACTTTTTTGCATTAGCTTAAGAAAAAGATCTAAAATTTAAAGAGATTGAAAGAGCTTAAAAAAAAGTTAAAGCAGAAAGTATGACGAAGAGAAAAAAAAATAATTAAAAAGATTTAAAAAAAACTTTAAAAATATGGGGAAAAGATTAAACAAAAAAGTGTTTTTATTATTATAATAATAATAAAAACATCATCTGATTACACAATAATAAACATTCATGATTTAGAACGGACTATTAAACTCTGAGAAAAAAATGAAAAACAATTTTTTTTAATTCTGTATTCAACCATATTTTACTTTCCATTCCATGACTGAAAAAAAAAACATTTTCCACGTTAACTGTGGTTGAATGCGGTTATATTCCAAGAAAAAACTTGTTTTCAGACATTTGTATGACCTATGAATTCCTAAAGAGCTTCAGAAACTCTCAAAATTTAGTGTTCATTCACTGGAAAATTTAGTGTTTATTCACTGGTAAGAACTTTTCCTTCACTTGCTTATCTTACTACTTATTATTCAAACCACCAAAAGTTTAAAACAATATTATGTAAGTTATCTAAAAAAATTTCACGTAATTTGCATTTAATAACAAATATGTCGACGCCATCAACTAGAATTACAAATTTGGAAATTTTTATGATTTTTTTAAAGGCAAACTAAGCTTAAGTGTTCCTTTACTGGTAAGTTTACTTTATAAGATGTTGAGAAATTTGCGATAATGTGAGAGATGCTTATCTTGACTACGTATTTCTATTAATATTTATAAAATATATATTCAAGAAATTGATAAATATTTTATTCCAAATCTATTTATACGTATGTATATTTTTGAAATTGTATCAGTTATTAAGGAAAAAAAACTATAAAATAAAAAATAATCACATTAAATAAGCACAATCTGGTGTATAATCATATTCTATCAGAAGCATGCTTTTATAAAACTAGACATTCGTTGAATAAAATGCTTTTTATTTAATAAAATGTTTTATTTAAATTTCTTTACTAAATTGCAAATAGATTTTTAGAGGAATAAAAAAGAAACATCGTATTTTATAGTTTAAAAAAAATAAAAAGATTAGCAAACGATTATTAGCGAAAAAAATATGAATGAAATTTTACGCTACGCGTGCTAAGACAAGTTCTTCCTAAGTTTATCTCATTTTAATATAAATCACCCCATTTAATTATTTCTTCATTGTCGCCAAATTATTTTTTTAAAAATAATTAATTTTTCTCATTTTCTAATAAATAAAAACAGTTGAAACTTTTAGATTTTTCAATTGAAAAATATGTAGATTAATATGGTATAAAAAAATCTATACCTAATAAGTTAAAATTTTTTCATCTTCAATTTAATTAAATAATAAAAAATAATAATTATTAAAAATTATTTTTTTCATGAAATTATCTTTGGGTAAATGAGTTTTATGAGTGGGAGCAAATTTTTTTTGAATTGCTTCACTAGTTTTTTAAAATATGACTGAAAACGCAAAAAACGAAATTAACATTAAAGGGTCCAAACTTTGAATCGCTCTCCTAACCAAACTATGGGGACCATATTTCCTAGATTGCGGCTACCCCCTATATTTTGAAGATAAGGAATCCAAATATGTAAAAAATATGTATATATATATTTGTGTGTGTGTTTATTCAGAGAAAGTACGTTTTTGTGTCTGATTTCGTAACTTAATTAATAGTTAGCACTAATTAATTGGGATATTTGAGGTCACCCTCAAGAATCATTAAGATTGACACTTTGTTCGTGAAAATCCGATCATTGGAACAAAAAATATTCAGGCTAATTCGTTTTTTTTTTTTTCTGCGGACTGTACATAAGTTAAAAATAAATGAATTGAAATAAATAATATAAATAAGTTCAAATAAGCTGAATTATAAATTACTTCGAAATGAAAATTTAGAAAAACTGCAACAAACGTTGAAAATGGTTATTAAAGAACCATATTTCTTTATTAAAGAATATAATTATTTTAATCGGAAACGGGTGATGACAATTACTAATGCTTGTCGTTTTCATAATTCATTCATTATATTGGTGTTAGAAATATTATATTTTATTTTAAAAAATGCCATTTATTTAGAAATAATTTCCTAAAGTAACCGAAAGATTAAATAAATTATGATAGATTATATATAGATTGTATCTAAATATAATCTGAGGTTTCAATACTCATCATTAGCTATAAAAAAGTATTAACTCGCGGAACCACTGTAGCTTTTCCGAGGTACCATAAGGTTCTGTGGAACGCCATTTTGGAACCTCTATCTCAGACATTGGACTTTAGGGAGCAGAAGCTGATTGTTACAGTTAGGTGGTCAGCTGTCTGTGGCTGTAAAAAATACTCACTATCAGAACTCCTGTAAATCTTTACGGAATAATAGGGTTATGTGGAACACTATTTGGGAACCTCTGTCTTAGACCTTGGACTCTAGGGTGCAGAAGCTGATTGTTACAGTTGGGTGGTCAGCCGTCTGTGGCTGTAAGAAGTACTCACTATCAGAACTCCTGTAAATCTTTACGAAACCCTAAGGTTTCGTGGATCACCGTTTGAAATCTACTGTCCTAGGTAATGCTAAATTTTTTTTTTCAGTTTTAATGCCTTTTTATTGTTGTTATATTTGTATAAAAATACAATTTTATTAAAAATATTTTTTTGTTATAAAATTGATCTTTATATTAAAAATATTAATACAATCAATAATTAATAATAAGGATATTAGTAAAAACTTAAACGGTAAATTCACAAATAATAACGTAAAAAATTCAAAATGTATGACGCGAAATAAATTAATAAATAATTTAAATTACGTTTTCAATTTGATAAAAAAACTTTTTAATAATCAAAATAAGCTTAATTAAAAATAATAGACTCAAAATCTGTACAACCAATTCTTTTAAATCGATCTATATTAGCCCGGGGTACCCATTTCTCCAAGGCTGGTGGGGAAATTCCGTACCTCCACTGCCCAATTAAATTTTCGTTTTAAGAAGACAACAAAAATGCATTGATAAAAACATATACCGACACATTTCTTTTTATTAAAATTAATTTTTTTTACTAATTTACAAAGCTATGAAAATTTAATATTTCATCGTTTGTCAATTTGAACTTTATTTTCAAATGACAAACTACAGTACTGAAAAACAATTATATGGAGTGGTATGACATAGGACTGATCTCCTCCATAAAGAGATTTTAAAAATTGCCTCATCCCACCCCTTAAAAAAATTTTAAAAATATATATATTTTCTGTGTAACATAATTACTGGTTATACACTTATATTTATAATTGAAATCATTAAGATGTGAATTGAATATTCAAAATTTTTTTTTTTCCTTTTAAAAGTCCTCTTTTTCTAAAAATGACTTAGGTTACTTGCCCCTCTTCTTAACCCCCATCACTCTGTTAATACCCATTAATGTTAGAGGATAAGATAATACTGAAAAGAATCGATTCGTGTCACAAAACAGATCTCTTAATGTTAAAAGATATAAAATCGCTCAAATGAGTCGAACAACCAGCTCAAAGAATCATTTAAATACTGTAATGTTAAAGTATAAAAAATCGACACAAAAATCAACTCTTTGGCCAATATTAATGCTAAGAGATAGGATGCATTCGAAAGATCGATTCATTTGGCTTAATGATTCATTTAATGCTAAGAGAAGCATACAGTTCATTGAATCATTAATGCGATTCTCAACTTTTTTTTCTCCCTATTTCAGTTTGTCTTCATCCAATCAGAGGTTCGCATTCATATTTCAATTTATTATCCAATCAGCGTAACAATTTCATTTTCTGTAGATTTCGCTTCTTGGTTTTGAATAAACGATAACATGGAACTCCGATTTGCTTTATTTTCACAGAAGTTTAAAATTTGATAACAGATTTCAATGGAGAAAAATACGAAATAATACTAAAGTACTAAAAAGTAATACCTGTGCTTTACAGCTTTAAATTCTTTTTATTAAAAAGGAAGAAACGCAACTGTCGAAAAAAGCTTTTCAGTTGTCGTTGCCATCATTAAAATAACTGTATATCAATAGAGTTAATTTTGTAAATGGAAAAAAAAGGGTAATGCAATAGTAATAGTACTTTCCGTAATACAAAGTTATTGTTTCGTCTCGGCCTATAAATTCAATATTTTACTTTTGATAAAATAATGTTTAAAGATATAATTTTCAATGCTTAAAACTCAATTAAAATGTAAATCATCCCCAAGATAAATGATTAATTTAATAGTACTTTTTCGATAATTGTTTATCAACCAAACCTTTTATTTATTGACAACTAATGGTTAGCTTAATTGAAAAAATTGCTGTAATAATTATTTTACAATCTGGGACTAAGTTGAAAAACTGATTATAACTACGTGGCACTATGTTTTCGCTGGCAGGCTTCAGGGCCACCTACTCTGTGTGAATTATTTGGTTCCCTACTGAACCCCGCAAATCAAATGTCTTAAGATTTTTCTAGGGGGAAAAACGGATTATTAATTTTATATTAGTATTAGTTTTGTTAGATAAAGTGTAGTTCGTTCACCAGGAGTTGACACTTGTTGCTCCATCATCTCCTCGGACGAAGAGTTTATTTCAGAGCGGGAGTAAGAGGGAAAAACATCTCCGCGCTTAAAATTGAGACAACCGTTAATGCACGCCAAACACTAACAGTGAATTCTTTTTAAGTCACTTCCTTCGCTTTATCATCTGCTATTATACCTTTCGTTACTCTATCTAATTAAATATATTTTAAATTCAAAAACGGCTGTGTGCCCAGCAAAATGTTTTAAAAAGGACAAATTATTCACTCAAAAAGAGAGAAATATCATCAGATTTATGAAATATTTAATGTTATAATGTAATAAAAAATGTACATAAAGATTGCGAAATAAATATTTTTGTCATACGGTCGCCAAAATAACAACTTTTTTCAGGATTGTTCACATCCTTCTCTCAAAAATAGCGATCGTCGCGTGATGAAGGCGGAGCCAAGTGCCAACTCCTGGTGAACGAACTATCAAGACAAAAATGCTGTATAGAGAGGCTACCGAGGGGCTTTACAGAAGGTAAAGCTTGACTAACCCTGTAAACGGTATGTCAGTGTTCAAGAACATTGTTACAAAAAAGTTCATATTTACCTTGTCCAAAAAATAGTAGCAATCTCTAAACTGCTGCAAATAAAACTCTTCACAATCAGAATTATCTCTGTCAATAGCAAGTGAAAATCTTCGTGCCAATAAACATTTCTCTATAATAGATTTTGAGGCACAGTTCAGTAGTAACAACCTAGTTGAAATTAGTGAAACAGCATCAGACATTAAAGCTTCCATTTCTCTATTATGATCATTAGAGTGATTACCTTCCTCAAAAATTACATGGGGCACTATTGAATACAGATAAGAGATTGAAGACAGACATCCATCATTTAACATATTTTGCTCTAAATGATCAAATAATCTAGCTTCAACCATTTTTAAAGCTCCTTGGGTATCTAAAAACTCATCAGGAATTAGCGTATTTGCAATTCTAAAAAAGCATTCAACATCACTTATAAAAGATTTTAAGTATTCTTTTGAACTCTGGCTCTTGGGATTCAAGAAATTAACCATATCAATACTAAAGAGAAGTGAAATAAGCTGCTGACGTGTCTCATTAGAGTTATTTCTAAGTGCTTTTAAGATCGTATCAATTAGAATATATTCAGGCTTATCTTTATGAATGATTTCTTTTAGCTCACAGATAATTGAATGAGCTTCTAACTCATCTTTGTTCAGGGTAATTTCTACGGGAGGGTGAAGAGAGATACAATCAGATTCTTGAGTGACTTCTTTAGCGTTTATGAGAATACCACAGAATTTATGGGCTCTGTGGCTTTCCTTGATAACTTCTAAGGTCTTCTGAAAGTTATCCTTAAGTCGCACATGAGAAAAACATACCTGTATAGAATAAAATTATAATTAAGACCTGGTAATACTTGCCAATGAAAAGTTTAATGACATTTTTTGCCCTGAATTATCCGAGGTTGATTTATTGCATTAAATTAGCTGTAAAATTTAAACCAAAGTTACACCATCAGAACATGAGAAAAACATGCCTATATAGAATAAAATTATATTAAGATCTGGTAATACTTGTCAATGAAAAGTTTTGCCCTGAATTATCCGAGGAAGATTTATTGCATTAAATTAGCTGTAAAATTTAAACCAAAGTTGCACCTTCAGAACATGATAAAAACATGCCTATATAGAATAAAATTATAATTAAGATAAGACCTGGTAATACTTGTCAATGAAAAGTTTAATGGCATTTTTTCCCCTGAATTATCCGAGGAAGATTTATTGCATTAAATTAGCTGTAAAATTTAAACCAAAGTTACACCTTCAGAGCATGAGAAAAACATGCCTATATAGAATAAAATTATAATTAAGACCTGGTAATGCTTGTCAATGAAAAGTTTAATGACATTTTTTCCCCTGAATTATCCGAGGAAGCTTTATTGCATTAAATTAGCTGTAAAATTTAAACCAAAGTTACACCTTCGGAACATGAGAAAAACATGCCTATATAGAATAAAACTGTTAAATTTAAACCTAAGTTACACCTTTCAGAACATGAGAAAAACATGCCTATATAGAATAAAATTGTAATTAAGACCTGGTAATACTTGTCAATGAAAAGTTTAATGATATTTTTTGCCACGAGGAGGATTTATTGCATTAAAAGAGCTGTAAAATTTAAACCAAAGTTACACCTTCAGGAAAAGTTGAGATTTGTGTAACGTTATTTTAAGTCTATAAATGTTCATATTTCGTTATTATGGTAATTAAATTATGAATTACGAGAATGAATTCTTTCTTTATGCGCCTTTATATTTGAAAGTGCAATTACATTAACTCCATTTATAAAACGCCATTACAATTTAGAAAGCTCCGTTACATTGAAGAAAACATTTTAACACTAAATAGAGCCGCCACCTCTTACATCAGAAAGCTTCCACACGGTTTCTTGCAAGTAGTCTGCGCAGAGTACTTAAAAAGCCAATTACTTGTGCGCATGAACCCAAATTCTATTTTAAAAATACTTGAGAGAAATTTATCATATATATCTTAGAACTGAATCTATAGTGGTTGACAAGTAAATAAAACAAACCAATTATATTCATAAATGAAAAAAAAAAAATTTGACATATATTTGCTACCACTTTCTAATTTTTATTAGATTTCATATTAAATTGTTCTTTCTCTACTTGGTTTGCTTTCATAGTGGTCTGATCAGACTACCTACAAAAAACCTTGTGGAGGCTTTCAGTTATAGAAGGCGTTGATAGACCACCTTTACGTTGAATTCCATTTCTCATACATCGAGATGGGCCGGGAATTTTTTTCCCCTCCCTTTTATGTGCTTAAGTTAGGTCCATCTTGAGCAGATTCATTATCGTTACTAGGTTTACTAGTGCAAAGATCCTAAATTACTTAACAGTAGAAATCTACTTACTCTGTTGTTCCAAAAATGCCATTTAGGGAGAATTTGCAGAATGGCCTGACGATACATCGTATATAATTTCAGATAAATTTTCCACACAAATTTTTCACTAAACCAAGTATACACTAGTTTTCTAAATAGAAAAAAGATTTATTAGTAAGCAAACACTATGCAGAAATTACACGACTTTATAGCCTTACCTTATTAATTTGTAAAGTAAACTCTCGATGAACCAGATTATCCCGAATGATCTCAGAAAAAGTTGTTCATAAATAAAATTGCTACAATTTACGCCTACCTTGAATTACATTATGACAAATTATACGTGACGAATTGGCGCAGAAACATTTTAACTAATAATCTTTAAATGCATTTTAGACAAAGTATTTTTTTATACGTTCCAATTAATCAAGAAAATTGTGTTAATAAAAGTGCAGGGAAGGCAGGGTTAGTCTGGTTGATAAGGCACTGAACCTATGTCCAAGAGTTCAAACCCTGCCAGCCGAAGACTCCCCGTGTAGTAAATGGTGACTGATGTACGGTAAATCTGTCGAGTCACAAAGTTCTCCATGTTCCCAAAACAAATTATACCTCTGGGGGTACTGATCCAGGAGTTTCCTTGTCTTCTGGATTGGTCAAAATTACAAAGGCTATGGAGTTGAACATTAGTAGTCGTAAACCCAAAATTGAGTCGACTGTTCATTCAGTCGACTGTTCAAGCATTATTAAATCTTAAATTTTGTTAATTATTATATCTTATTTAAATTTCGTTGTGTAAAAATAAATTTTATTTTAAGCTCTTGAAAAAAAGACATTTTTGCTAAATTCAATTTTATGAAATTAACAATTAATTATCTTTTAAAAGTTAATTTACTAAAGTTTATTTTAATAAAATATCATTTTAGAACCAGATTCGGAGCATGTTAAGAAAAATAAAATTAGTAATCATAAATCATTTTAAGAATTAATATAAAATCATCAATGCTACAATTAAAATATACTCCGAGTTGATTTTCAACACTACTTTTTTATATGACAATAATCATTTACATTTTCAAAGTAAAATCAGTAGATAAATTATTAAAATATTTATGATTATACAAAAGATATATAAGGCAAAAATAATTTAATAATACCTGGAGTGGAGGGAATTAAAAATAAATATGTGCACGTGGAGGAATACAAACTTATTGCGTTTTCCATTACTTGTTAGATCAAATTTAGAAAAGCATTATTATTCATTAAAATTTTAAATTACCTAGGCAATTATTAAGGAAGAATTTAAAAAAATAAATTAAAGCAATTTACATTTTGGCGGCCCCTGAAATCGCCGGTGGATCCACCGCTCACGACCAACAGCGTGTTCACGTACAGCTCTACTACAAATTGTTGATTGGTCTAACACGTTGCTGCGTCATGCTTTAGTTGTAACTGGTGTTCAACGCTTGCATACGTCAGAGGGGGAGAAGCAGGCCCGTCGCCAACGGGGGGGTGAGAGGGGTGTCTCACCCCCCAGCGATATCACCAAGATTTAAACGGATTTCAATGTTATCTGAGTTTCGTCCATTTCGAGATCCCAGCTGGTTGCTCCTTCACCGGGTTGCGTATTTACAAAGACTCAATGATACAGAGCACTTGGCGCGATATTAGGGATTGTCGCCAGATTTGTGGTAAACCCACACATCCTCTTTCGATTGTTGTAACCCCGTACAGAATGCGTTGTTGTGTTTACATTTCAATTTAAGGTTAAGGAATCGTGAAAATGTGTACAATATTTCAACAGCAGTTTATAAATTTTTATCGTCTTTCGAAATGAAATCGACGAATTGTGATTAGCATAACAATACTTTAGTATCGAGCTGTAACAAAACGATTTGAGAGAATTATAATACTTCAGCTCAGAACGAATTTTTTTAATAAGATGAGATTAAAGTGTTTGATTGCTTGAAAAAAAAGCATAGATGTTTTAATTTTAAAAATCTGTATGGAGATATTTCTAATATAGCATTTTTGAGATCGCCACTGTGTTTCTACTGCTTACACTGTTGTAGTAAATTGAATATATATTATACAAATATTCAAACTGCTGATTAATGATAAACACTATTGTTATTTTTAAAAAATTGTTACCCTAATAGACGTTATTATAAGAAATTGGATATATGATATACTATCGGTACTTTTGAAAAAAAAA